GAGGGGCCTAGCTAGGGTTTAGGATTTCGGCTTAGGGTTTAGGGCTGCAGCTTCGAGAGGCTTGAATCCCAACACAGGCTGAACCTTGGTATCGGGGGTTTCGGCCTATGGCACTAGAGGAAGAAACTCGGCTCTGAAGCCCCGATATAAGAGCCCTCACACCTAGAATAGAATTTTGGGACATGATGTAGTATAGTTCCAGGAACCCCGTGGACAAACATTGGGAATTATTGACGCTTCTTTCTGACAGCCCCTAAACTGCTAAACCTCGCATCTAGGATCCCGGACGCTTAAACCCTAAACCCTTGTCCTAAGGCTCTAATTGCTGTTATGGGCTTTCTAGGGGAAGGTTTGGGCTTTGGGGGCGAAGGCTTGGGCTTTCACTATGGGGGTCCATGAGTCTTGGGGTATCCTGTATCCCGAACTTCAACATGAAACCCCGTCGGCATGAAGCCTAAAGCCTCTATAAACTGGGAGTTAGGATTAGGGGGACCCGTGGGGAGAAAGACCCTCTCAATAAGGTCCCCTGTAAGAGAGCCACAAGTAGGGTTCAGAAGGGTCCCCTTTAAGGGGTCTCCCTAATGCCTGCCTAGGATAAACCCTTAACCCGAAACCCCCTTCAACCCTAAACCCTAAACCCGAAACCCCCTTCATGGCCAGCTCGCAGACAGCGCTGGGTCTCCAGCGATCTGTCGGCGTCTCCATGACCTTCCCAGAGGGCCCACTAACCCATAATTAAGGAATATACCTTAAAACTATAGGGGCCTTAATATTATGATTTAAGGTATATGCCTTAATATTGTGGTTTAAGGTACTGGGCTCTCTGGGTAGTTTAGACTGGGCTCCCTCTGAGGGTCCTCAGGGCTTGCTTACCCATAGGCCCCTAAGTAGTTCCTTCTTGGGATTACCTTATAGGATTCTAAATATAAATCATAAACAGGAACTACTTAAGGGCCTATGGGTAAATCGGCAGCACCCCTGTGTGCATCAGGCACCCCTTCGTCAGTCCAATTTACAGGTTTTGGTTGGCTTTTCTAAACGACGGGCATTCGGTTTAGGTTGTTAAGTGGCTTCAAGAAGGATCCTTATTTATGCAAGCACATTGAAACAAGAGCACCGTAAACGAAACCGTTCGTCCCGCGTGGGAGAGTTTTGGGCTAAATTGAACGAAGCTTGTAAGATTTAGGAATTTCCATCGATTTTGGTTGCTTCGTGATGGTATCTGGAACTGGTACACGCAATCCTGTAAGGCGCTCAAATAAATCCTCAACCCTCAAGCATGAACCCGGTAAGACTATTAAGACGCCTTATAAAAACACTTAAACCTACAAGCCCCTAAACCCTACACCCCCAAGCCCGGAATCCGAATCCGGAATTCCTAAACCCTAAACTCTCTAAACCTTAAACCCTCAACTCGAGACTCGAAACCCCTAAACCCCAAGGCCCCAAAACACGAAATCCTTAAGCCCCAAAGTTGGGCTGCGAGCGTGGAAGAGGTCGGTGCGACGCTCAAAGAAGCTGAGCATGCTCCAGGTCAGCTCCTTTTGGGCGGTTAAGGCTTTAGGGTTTAGGGTTTTGGGGTTAAGGGTTCAGGTTTTAGGGTTGGTGTCTGTTACCTGTGGATCCCAAAATAGCTACTGTTTTCACAGATCCTTATGACGCCTCATTAATATAACCTTTTGGGGCTACAAGTATTTCAAACAGAAGCCAGAAACTCGGAACATCATTCTCCTCATGCCCCGAAAGACAGGCGGTTGCAGGACTATTGATCTGAATCCATGTTCCAACTTTCTTGGGTTCACTATAAAAAAAACCCTGAACCCTACACCCCAATCCTAGGCAGTATTCGGGAGACCCCTCAAAGGGGACTCTTCTTAAGCCTACTTATGGCTCTCTTAAACGGGACCTTATTTAGAGGGTCTATGTCCCCAAGAGTCCCCCTAATCCTAACTCCTCACCCAAAAAACCCCTAAGCTGCAAGGCAGTACGAGGTCGAGGGCTCCATGCCAACCCCCTGATTTCTTATGTAGAGGCCTCAATGGAAACGGTCAGGGCATATTGTTTAAGTCTGCTTGGGGTCTGGGCCGTGGTTTAGGGCTTGCTGGCGGTGTAGATCAGGGTCCTAAACCCCTAAACCCTGAACCCCTAAACCCCTAAACCCTAGACCCTAAACCCTAAACTGGCCCTAAACCCCTAACCCCCTAAACCCTAGACCCTAAACCCTAAACCCCTAACCCCCTAAACCCCAAACCCGGGGTTCAGGCCGTCTCCCTGCAGAAACCTCGGGCGCGCGTGGCCTCCACGTTCTTGTGCTTTCGCGCCATGTTCATCAACCTCATTTAGGGTTTAGGGTTTAGGGTTTAGGGTTCAGGGTTCAGGGTTTAGGGTTTAGGGTTTAGGGCTTAGGGCCATGTTCATCAACTTCAGGACGACACCCAAAGCCCAACAGCATCGCCTGAGAGAGTAGCTATGGAATCGGAATAGGGTTCTCCATGCGCTTCCGTTTCAGGGTTTAGGGTTTAGGGTTTAGGGTTTAGGGCTTAGGGATAGGATGCAGCCAGAGAACTATGATGTAGAAGGGTACACGGCCTAGGAATCAAACAGCTCACCCCGAATACGATTGACTCACATAGGTCCTATTGCAAAGCTGTAGCCAACCTCGCCAATAAAGCAGCCATATCATCCCCTAGAATACTAGAAACCCACTATCATCACAGTGCAATATACCCCAACTTAGTGCTGGGATTCCCTATACCTTGCTCTTAAGAATTGAGGCTATTGGGTTTCCAACTTCTGGGCGACGACGACGACAACGACGACCACTACCACTACTACTACTACTACTACTACTACTACCACCAGGATGACGACGGCGACGACGACTACTACTGCTACTCTTAGTGACAAAACCTATTCCCTAAACCCCAAATGGCTCATCTCTCTCCCTAAACCCTAAACCCTACTAAACCCCTAAACCCCTAAACCCCTAAACCCTAAACCCCAAACCCTGAACCCTGAACCCTAAGCCCTAAACCCTAAACCCCAAACCCTCACCGTCTCTCTCAGCTGGGCATCCAGGCAAGTCGTCGAAACGTCCGTCTGCCATAGCCGCGGCTGGTACTCAGAACCCCGGAAGGATCCACGAAATAGAAGCACCGCAAAAGGCCGATCTTTAAGCCATATATAACAGTAGGATTCCTTTAGGGGGGGGCTCGATCTTCTTTCGATCCTGCAAGGAGTCTGGGTATCTTTCCCAAATCCGGAAGCCTTCCTCAAACAATAAATACACTCAAGCCCTGGCAGGGTTCAATCAGTAAGGAATACTCTACTCTGGACCTCAGCCTCAGACCTAAACCTCTATGGTGTTGGGTAAGCCAGTCACGGGAGTGATGACAGAGTCAAGACTTCCACCAACTCGAACTCACGCCTTGTAACTTGTTTTCTAGAGCCGTGTGGCTTATCTATGGCTTAAGGGGTTTTGGCTTTCTTGTTTTGTGGTTCAGGGTTTAGGGTTCAGTGTTTTAGACAGGTATGCACAGGGAATGGAAACCCTAGCCCTAATCCACGGATTCGATCAACCTGCTGAGGCTTGGAGCGCGACGTGGCAAGGGGGAAACATGAGAGCTGCATGAACAGGGGAGGTGGTAATCCGAATGTGTCGGGTTCGGGAAGTATCCATTACCTAAACCTCCCATTATCATTTTTTTTGAGGAGTGTATCTTAAATCCTACTAGGCTCCCTAACATGACTTAACGTGTATTCCTTAATTAAGGGATTTTGGAAGGTCGGAGTAGAGAAGCCCTAAACCGTAGACCGGTCCCCAGTTCAGATTACAGTGGGGTGTGGGGTTTAGGATTTAGGGCTTAGGGTTTAGGGTGTAGGGTTTAGGGTTTAGATCATTGAGCATGCATGAAGGATGATAAGTGCCAGGATTCCCGACTAGACTCTAGACACCCTAATGACATCGGAATGAGGATGTTCTAAAGTTCTGGCTTCGACTTTACTTAAAGGACCGTGGGGCTTAGTGACTCATGTAGGGCCCGAATAATTAGAAGCGGGTTTTGGGGCCCATCAGACTATATTTATAATAAGGAACCCTTCAGAACAATATGGGTACTTATTTAGGCCCCTATACCAGCATTATAGAGCAAGTAGCTATACTCATGATTACTTGTAAAGCGGACTTAAGACCCTTAGATCCTTACTTACTACGACGTCCCTAAACCTTGGAGCACGATCGAAGCCTTATAGAAAGCCCAACCCCAAGGGTCCAAGTACTCCTGACTAGGACTGTGTCTGAGAGATCTACTTTAGGTTTAGGGTTTAGGGTTTAGAGTTTGGATTTAAAGTTTAGGGTTTAGGGTTTAGGGTTGAGGCTTTAAGGTTTAGGCTTTGGGGTTTGGGGGTTCAGAGGTCAGACATTCGGGGCCCCGGGGTTTAGGGCTTAGAGTTGTTGGGTTCGAGCTGCAGCATTTGCCGTGGAGAAGCCGCGAACCCTGAAACTTAAACCCTAACCATAAACCCTAAACCCTAAACCCTGAACCCTAAACCCTAAACCCTGATCCCTAAACTCTAAATTGCAAATCCAAGGTCGCGGCTGGGCTAGGCGATCCGAATGCAATCCCAGGGCCCGCATAGATAGAACAGGGATGAAACCCTAAACCCTGTTTAGGCATTAAGGGTTTAGGGTTTAGGGGATGCTGAGGTATGTGGGTAGTTGTCTAAATTAGGGTCCCTTTCGGGGGTCTTTTTTATAAGGGTGCAGTACTATATTGGGGACCTAAAAAGGGACCCTAGTTTAGAGAACTACCCATGTGATGCTAGAAGCTTAGAGTTATATGGAGACTGCAGCGTCGTACGATTTAACATGGGCTTGTTTTAACCTGAGTAATAGTAATGGCATGTAGTAGCAGGGGTCCTCTGCAGCACAAATTTTAAATTAAGCCGCGCAACATGGAAAGCCGCACACAGTTCGACAAGTTCGTGCACTTGTTTTGCTCTCAACCACTGCCATTCTGCAGCTGGGCCTTAGACGTATGCACAGCACGCATGAGAACCCGAACTTGGGCGTATGATGGCGTTATGAAAATGCTCTGACAGACGGCTTAACCCATGATGGGTCCTGACTGTCCTGACACAGCATCGGTAAGGTATGAATCAGAACATCGCGTGTCGGGTTGGTGGTACTAAGCTAAACAGAAGCTGGGCCCACGGCCAAGTGCCATCTCGATGGGCTATCAACGCCGAGGCGGAGTTCTTGCTTGTGAAGTTTGGGAAGGAACAACCGTTGTGACATCGTCAGTGGTGTGACGCCCACAGCCGTAACACAGTCGTAAAGGCGTTCCTCTGCATTCGCTGCCACCATGGAGGTGCATTCATCCAGCAATGCGAAATCTGGTTGATGGAAGAGCGCCCTACTAAGGGCAATCCGCTGCTGCTCTCCTCCCGACAGTACGTCTTCCCACCTGCAAACAGCCGCCCAACCGTGTTCTTGACGATCCAGCAGATGAGCCAATCCTACGGATTTCAACGCCTGCTCAGCCCTCCCCACGTCTTCTGCGAAAACAAAGCGCTTCGGGTAGGTGACCTGATCTCCCAAACAACCAGGTGCCAAATATGGTCTTTGTGGGACAATGGACATCGAACGCGGAACTGAAACTTGCGCATCTCGTCCAGACGTCTTCCAGAGGCCCAGCAGCACACGTGCCAAAGCGGTCTTGCCAGCCTCGGAGCACGGAAACAGGTTCTGCAGGAGCAAAGCATGGACAAATTAGCACAGATTATTCAGCTTCTGAACCTTGTTCCGAATCCTTGCGATCATTGACCATATGACACGGGGTTTATGTGCACGATAAGAAAGTTGGTACGGTTGAAATGAAAATCTAGGACAAGCAGCATGAAATCGTGACGCCTTCGATGATGTCTGTGCTTCAACTACTTGTGAACGGTCTGGACGTGGGAGTTGATCTTGTCAAGCAGTAGTCGCTCGGGGGGGCGGGCTCGGTCAACATGCGCACGCAGCGAAGCCCATGAAACTATCTAGCACATGGGCCAAGAAATACTAAACAAAAAATCATTCTTAGCATGAAAGGAAGTTGCAGATTTGGATAAATTTTCGTCGGCCCCGAGAGAAACCGCTGGCTGGAACAGACGATGCGACGCCAAGACATGCTCCCTGTCGTGTGAAATTGTTGCTGAACGAATGCGGCGCGTGTGGTCATGTAAGAGTTGCACTTCAACCGGAAGGGCTCTAGCGGTAGCTGGTGCTCAGTTGTGCGAATCGGATTGTTTAAACTTACGACGTACATAAGAGCGTTGATCAACATTCCTTATTCTGGACATACTTCTTTGCCGATTTGTGTTTTCCTTGGGCGGGACAATTGCCTTGACTTTCGCGTGACAGGTCTGCAATATTGCGGTAGCAGTGGTAGTATTCGTCGTCGTCGTAGTAGTAGTACTAGTAGTAGCAGCAGAAGTAGGAGTAGCAGCAGCAGTAGCAGCAGTAGCAGTAGCGATAGCAGCCTAGCAGTAGCAGTAGCAGTAGCAGTAGCAGTAGCAGTAGCAGTAGCAGGAGCAGGAGCAGTAGCAGTAGCAGTAGCACTAGCAGTAGCAGTAGCAGTAGCAGCAGCAGTAGTGGTCGTCGTCGTCGTAGTAGTAGTAACCGCAGTAGCCATAGTCGTAGTCGTAGCGGTAGTCGTAGTCCTAGCCGTAGTCGAACTAGCAGCAGTAGCAGTAGCAGTGGCAGTACCAGTAGAAGTAGCAGTAGCAGTAGCAGTCCCCGCCGCAGCAGGAGTAGAAGGAGTTGTTGTTGTTGGTGGTGGTGTTGTTGTTGTGTTTGTTTTTGTGGTCGTCGTCGTCGTCGTCGTCGTCGTGGTCGTCGTTGTCGTTGTCGTTGTCGTTGTCCTGGTCCTGGTCCTTGTCCTTGTCCTTGTCCTTGTCCTTGTGCTTGTGCTTGTGCTTGTGCTTGTGCTTGTCCTTGTCCTTGTCCTTGTCCTTGTCCTTGTCGTTGTGGTTGTGGTTGGGTGGTTGGGTGGTTGGGTGGTTGGGTGGTTGGGTGGTTGGGTGGTTGGGTGGTTGGGTGGTTGGGTGGTTGGGTGGTTGGGTGGTTGGTTGGGTGGTTGGTTGGGTGGTTGGGTGGTTGGGTGGTTGGGTGGTTGGGTGGTTGGTTGGTTGGTTGGTTGGTTGGTTGGTTGGTTGGTTGGTTGGTTGGTTGGGTTGTTGTTGTTGTTGTCGTTGCTGTCGTTGTCATTGTTGTCGTTGTTGTCGTTGTTGTCCTTGTTTTGTGTTGTGTGTTGTTTGTTGTTTGTTGTTTGTGGTTTGTTGTTTGTTGTTTGTTGGTTGTTGGTTGTTGGTTGTTGGTTGTTGGTTGTTGTTTGTTGGTTGTTGGTTGTTGGTTGCTGTTTGCTGTTTGTTGGTTGTTGGTTGTTGGTTGTTGTTTGTCGTTTGTCGTTTGTCGTTTGTTGTTTGTCGTTTGTCGTTTGTTGTTTGTTGTTTGATGTTGGTGTTGTGGTTGTTGTTGTTGTTGTGGTGGTGGTGGTGGTGGTGGCGGCGGCGGTGGTGGTGGTGGTGGTTGTGGTTGTGGTTG